CTCTCTCTCTCTCTCTCTCTCTCTCTCTCTCTCTTTCTCTCTGTTTATTTCAGCCTTTTAACTTTATAGCATGTTTTGATATGTTCCCCTACTAATCAAGGCATGCTTCGTGCCTTGAATCTCTCTGTAACTCTCTTTGCCCGTTGCATTTCAACCCTTTTTAACTTAAGAATGTTTTATCGTGTTTTTATACAAATCAATAAATGCTTAATGCGTTAACTCTCTCTCCCTCTATCCTTTCTGAGAATGACCCCCTCCCTCCAACAGAAGAAATGCGCAGGTACTCTCTCTCTCTCCTCTGAAAATGACCTGCCCAGGCAACGTGGATCTCTCTCCATCTCCCCCCAGATGCAACAAGTTGGCAAACCTCTCTCTGTAGAAATGCATGAAATTTGCAAACAAATGATGTGGAGGAGCATTCATCAATTTCCAGAAATGAGGATAGGGATAGATGGTTCAGTTCTGCCAAACCGCGTCGGAGATACTGAGGGCAATTTGGTTATTGCGTGCAACAACCAGCATGACAGAATCAAATTGCAAAATGTGCACCCACCAGACATTCAGTGGTTTGGATACATGGCACGAATGGCTGGCAATTGCTTGGGGTACGGCTCGTTAAACCCAACCTAAAGGTTTAAGGCCCTGTCCCAGTGACCCTCCTGGTTTCTTTTTTGTTAAGTTATTAGCCCGGCCAGGACCAGGCAGGGCGGAGCCTGGGCTGGAACAGGTTTGGTCCTGTCCCAGCCTGGACTAGAACAGGACCGGGTCTAGGCTAGAGCACTTTTGTTCCGGTCCAGGGAGGGCCCAATGACCGCCTGTACTAGAACAGGGCCGGGTCTAGGCTAGAGCACTTTTGATCCGGTCCACGGAGGGCCCAATCCAAGCTTAGGCTAAGGTTGGCCTAGCCCAGCAGCTAATCCTAAAACATTTAAATACGGTGTGGTTGCTAGAAGGAGTCAATCATAGTCAATCAAAATACGGCACACCTCTAAACCATGAGGAAGGATACGCTCTAAGTGCTAGAAAGCCCTCCGCCTCAAACTCTATTTTCAAATTTAATTAGCTTCGAAAGTAGTATAGATCGAGCTAAGTCTATAAAATTTTTGAAAATGGATAGTTCAAATAATACATTATTGTCGGGGATTTGAATCATTTTTATTTTTATTTTATTTTTTTTTATCTAAACATTTTGATATTGAGATGGTCAATTGAAAAGTACCCTTTCAATTGACGAGAGAGCAAAGCTTTTGTGAAGGATTTTGAGGTGAATCTCACTTCTATAATAGAAGGTTGACACTTCAACATAAACTTTTCTTTGAAAATATGAGGTGAACCAATGAGTGACGTTCACGCTAACTGCTCCGTACAAGCAAGAAATCTATTCAGATCAAAGAGATCCAATTCTACTAGACAGAAACGAGAGGTTGGAATGGGTTCAAGGCATAGGTAGTGCTGCGTACTGCAACATGACATTTTAAATTTCATTCCCAATGAACTCATTCCCCCGACCCCTTCCCCCGCATAGAGTGAGTGCAAAGCTAAAAGATTTCATGCTCTTGAAGAGCATTGTATCCATTTACTCTACTCTCAAGAGCACTTTGTCGATTTACTTGCTCGAGTAAAACCTAATCTAAGAGCATTTTTACAAAGCCCGATGCAACATTTTCAACCCATACTCGAATAAAATAAAATTTTCAAATTTCTTCTTGCGTGGGCTTACTTAAAAAAAAAAGGATGCTTCCAAGATTGAATGGAAACAATTTGTTTTTTAAAAGATGAGATCAAAATGTTAGAAAACCCAAAAGTTCTTTTGAATATAATCATTTAGTAAAATTTTAAAAAGTCACCACTTTTTTTTAAAAAAAATTCCCAATTAGTCTTCCGCACAAGGGAATAAGAGCACACGGTAACATGAAAGAGAAATGTTGCTGTCTCACCGATCATCTTCACCATCCGTGATAAATCACGGAGGGTGGATATAGGGGTCCTACATACTTATGCTAGGCCTGGGTCTGCGCATTTCATTTTTCTTTTTTGCGGAACATGCAATGACTGGTGTGCTCGGAGTCTGAAATATGGACATGGGTGGGCAAGCACGTAAGACTCCACAAGCAAACTCTGAGATCCCATGCGTGTAGAGAGAGAGAGAGAGAGGGAGAGGGGTCTCAAGTCTTAAGCAGGATTTTTACTCGCTAGAGAGGGAGATATATTAATTCATGAATAGAAAAACCAATTTTCACAATATAAGGAAACAAAAATACACAACACATTGCCACAACACCCTCCATATTCTCAACCTAACCTAACACAAGCAAGAAAATCCATCATTTCGCTCACATGGGCATGAGCCAATGCAATGTTGCCGCCTTTCTTTTTCTTTTAATTATTAACAGTGACAAAATTTCATTGCTATATGCGGATCACAACTCAAATGGAGGCGCCCTGAAACGAAAAGCAATCAACAGTACGGGACAATCAATGCCAAACCTGCCCCATATTTCTCATCCTGGGATTGAGAACTCACATGACATTTCTCTTCCTCTCACTTCCTATCAAACCATTGGGTGATTTTCTCTTCGCCTCACGTATATGGAACATAATCTGCAACCAGAAGCGTTTTAGTAGTGAGAGGTTCGCCAAAGCAAGACAGTTACTTTCAGTTTTTCTCATCTCAAGAAAAATAAAATTAGATTTAAGTCAAAAAGCCATGTATGATATTTCACCTTTGTGCCCACATAAAATGTGAAATAAATACTTCCAAGAACAGGTAGACCTGCACAAAATAAAGTAAATATAGCTGCTCAATTCTCTAAAACATGCAGAGCGAAGAGTTTTGGGTGCCTTAAATACCATCTGGTTTAAGCATTCTGGACTTCAACCAATCCAAGCCAGCTGGTCCAATAACATAACCCACAAGGTTTGTGATCTGCAAAAGAACACCAGGTTCGACAGGTGAAACAAGAGCATAAAAATTTAACAATTATTGTGGCGGTAACTGAACAACGAAAGTGGCTAATTTTTTTCTATGGGCAAAGAGAAATTGCATCCAGTTGTTTTATTCCTGCAAAACTGCATTGGTTTGAGAGCCTCCTCGGTAGATTCTGTATGGCTACACCCTATCCGCATATCTGTGATTTCATGTGTTTCTCCACATGATTTTCTAAGAACAGTCAATTACTTCAATGCTTCTCATCAGGGTTCGCCAAATATTACGCCCTGGATTTGAGCCATTCTATATGCCAGTTAAACATGCAGAATTTCAGGTTGATACGAGTTCACCGGACAAATTAAACAGCCAGAGAACACGCACCCAACATTACAAATGCCATAACAGAATGATATTGTCCTAGTTTGCCAAAGTTGTCATTCCTTCACTCTGCCAATCTTAATGTGGGTATCTGAGCAGTGCTCGTTAGGTTCCTCAAAACCCTAATCAGGTAATAATGCATGCATCTTTCATATGGAACAAGAAGCCTACAGCAGGGAAGCACATGCGTAAGAGAATGCTTTACTAAGCTCCATACTTAGAGATCATCTATCATCAGCGATGTCTCCACCCATGAGTGCAACAAAGCTTAAAAAATCAAAAGTTAGAAATTAAGTCATTACTCCAATAAACAATAACAAAATTCCCATCATAAAAAGTATACCAAATTGAACAAGCAGTTAAATAATTTCCAGTATTTTTAGTTGCCAAAATTAAAAGAAAGGAAATCAAAAGAAAACAAAAAAATCAAAAAAAGATGTGGAAGTGAGGGTACAAAGAGAGCCATACCATGAGACCAGTGATAGTGAAGGCACCAATCATAGCACTGAGTTCACGGAGAATAAGCTGCCTAAACATGCCCTTAGCCTAATCATATAAAATATTCACCATAAATAAAGCATCATGAAAACTGCCCACACACTTCCTATAAAAAAAAGATCAATATTTGATAAATTATAAATGCATAGTATTGTCAAATGGGCCCAACTAGCACAACGGCCAGATGAAGTAGATAACTAAATTAGAAAACTGTAGTTAACATAAAATGTGTTACCTGAATATTAGTCATCGCTAACTTCACGAGTATTTCAGGCACCCACAAGAAACAAGTCAACCATGCCCATGACAGAAGTTTCCTGTAGCAAGAGAATCCTGAAATGAGAAAATACAAATGCAAGAGAGGCTAGGTGATGCCAACTTTATTAAACCAACAACTAGCATGTCCACTACACTCATAGCAAGATAGATGATAACCTGTTTTGAAAGGAAAAGAATTCGATTGAGATTTACCACTCTAGGTCGTGCCAGATTGCAACAAATGTGAACACAACCCAAACAATGAGTAGCTTTCTTCGGGCTCCCCCCAGAGGGATATATATATACCTGGAGCATATATCCGTTTCGAGTTATATGGAATCCTGAAGAAAGAAAACTTAAAAGAAGAACGTAGTAATCCAAATTGCACCTGACAAGCCATTTGTTAAAAGATGAGTGCCATCCTTTCCAGAAATCCTCCAAGCTATAACAATTATTGATGCATCGTGGCATATTTTCAGGAGCTTCTACACCTCCCATCTGCATTCAAATAATGCATAAAGAAAACAATGTCCATTTTCAAATTATAGACACTGCTAGACCAAGCAAGAGAGCACAATGTTTCCTTCATTAATAATCTGCAAATACCAAAGAAGAAAAACGATAAAATCAGTTCAATAGAGGCACTGAATCTAAGATACCAGGTGCTTTGGTCACTTTGCAAGAGACACTCTACAAGTCGAGATCAAGAAAAGCAATTTCATCTTGTCAACTGTAAAGAGGTCACCGTGAGGTCCGGGAATTCAGGATCCCAAACCTGGTTAAATGTCACTCTCATATCCAAATGGCTGTAGAGAAAATCTGTTCAGAAGGTGAGTCTATAGAGGAAGGAATCCTTGTAAATATGCTCATCACGAATCCCAAGCATAGGCAAGACTTAAAGCATAGGTTTGGGAAGTTCGGAATGGTGTTAGGTTTAGTGTAGGTCATGGTGTTCATATGGGATTAACAAGTGTGATGATTAGTATCTACCAAACTGCTCTCAATGCTCTAAGGATGGCAGGAAGTGTTCAAAAGTTTCATGTAGAGAGGGGCTAATGGAGCAACCAACCCCATAGAGTCTCTAAAGCTTCATTCTTTAAAATATGTTCAAATGTCAACCCATTACTACTGGGTTCAAGCTTCTTTGTTACAAACTTTGATGGAGAGCAAGAGATAATGTCTTCCAATCCACTGGGGACAGCAAATTCAATGTGAACTTCAGCCAAGTTATATATACTTAAAACCACTCTATATTCTCATGGGATTCCTGACTATTGAAGGAGCCTCAATGAATATGACTATATAGTTGCCTTAATGGTGGTTATCCATCGGAAGCTGGATTTTGTTTTTTCAGGGAAATTGTTTAGCAGGCTGCTAAATTCAATCAACTAATATAACAGAAAACTATCTAAAAAGGGAATCAAAGTTGAGAGTGAATAATTTTATAGCGATTGTGAAGAATTCTATACCAATTGTGATTTTAACCAAGCATAAATTAGGTTCATTTTTCCTCTTGATTTTAACCGACCATAAATTAGGTTCATTTTTCCTCTTTATGAGTTCATCACTCATTGAAAAGAAAGAGATGAAAAATATCAGGCATGACAAACTATAGCAGACATCAGTACAACAAAACAAGATTACATCATATGGATTCAGTTTGATTGAATTCCAGTAAGGGTTTGACAATAAGTAGCTACAAATTAAGTCAACGAACTAAATAAGTCCATGCAACTATATAAATGGACAAAATCATAGTTAACGCCGCTGACCATATAATTGGAGAGACAAGATCATACCAGCGCCCAAAAGCGGAAATAACGCCAAATGAGAAGGAATTTCAACCACATGAAATTTAAGACCTGCCACAGGCCCACAACTGTCAAACATTTACAGTAGCATCAATTTTAACAAGAACAGTGAGATACAAAAACCATTCCGAACCCCTGAAAATCCATTTCTGCACAAGAAAAATGGATTTGGGACCATTAAAATAGATTTTTTGTTAACATTTACTTAAAAGGACTTGGAGCTATTAAAAATGATGCAAATCTGACTGATCCACAGTCTATTGAAATGAACAGTAATTCAAGAAGGACTACTTTTAGGGCTCCAAATCATTTTCTCTTCAGATTCATAATTTAAGTGTGCAAGTGAATGGATCTGTAGAGTTTGGGTTCTCAAAACACCAAAAATCATATAGAAATGAGGGACACCACACTTTCTCAGCAGTGGCCAAATACTTTTCCCTCTATTATACAATATATAGGGTGCGGTTTTTATAAGGTTGCAACCTTATTTGTACAAACAAGGTTGCGATACTCTATACTATTCATTTTATTTAGACAGTGTAGATTTGACACATCTTTTAAGATCGTGTCAAAACATGGCACGTATTTTAAGAGAGTGTCAAATCTACATTGGCCAAATAAAATGGATGGTGTAAATTACTGCAATCTTATTTGTACAAATAAGGATGCAACCTTATCTAAACTTTTTCCTAATTTATAAAACCACAACAAACAGTTTTTTAAACTTATTTTCAAGTTACAAGATGGAGCAACAGGGAAAGAAACGGTGATGCATGAAGATGAGTATGCTCATCAATGAATCACATGGCAATTGTACCAATATGCATTGCGACATAATTTCTATATCTAATGAAGGATATAATTTTAATAAGTACTTGGTCACATTGTAGCAGTGGAATATAGATTTCAATGGGCATGAAATGTTATGAAACATGGGCTATTTACTTCAACATATTCCCTAAATATAATCTTTCTCTTTTGGACATGAAAATATTCACCAAATATGTAGTACGGAACGTAGTTGGTGACTTGGTAGGGATTTTCGCAAACATATTGATGTAGAGAACTTGAGAAACAGTAAAATCAGCAAAAAATCTCAGCCAAACACATGCAATTTTGCGGAAACACTAAGGTTTTCTCCCCAGCTAGGGATCAAGCCTTAGGTTTCTGTTCTTTCTTCTTCAATACAAGTTTGTTTTCCTCAAAAAAAAAAAATGACATGATTCCCCCTCCAGCCATCCATGCCCCACTTAAATTGTATGTTTAATGTTTTGGCC